GAAGAGCTCACGCCGGTCAGGGATAGAGTGATTCGCGCCACCATGTAATAGGGAGATCGGCGCGGCGGGGGTGAAGAAGATCGTATCGTCGTCAGTGGAAGATTGGTTCGTGCCGCCGTGAGGGCTGAGTTCGCGTCGCCGTTATAGAAGGTTGTGTTTGCGCCGCCGTCGGTAGGAAAAACAGTTGGGTATTCATTCTGTCGAGGGGATCACGCTACCGTCTGACAGGGGATCGGATCATCCATCGTCGTCATCGTGGGGGGTGAGGGGATAGATCCGATGCCCGCGTTAAAGCTTCTTTCGTCATGATCATGGTCTCACTTAAGAAATGAGATGCATCATGTTTTTGAGAAAGGAATATAGCAGATGATAGAGTGAGAAGAAGGAGAAAATGTTAGGAGCTTTTATTATTATTATTATTATTATTATTTTATTGTTTCAATATTTACTCTTTTTTGATATTTTTAATTAGAATTTAATTTGTAGTAAAGTTATAAACAGATTTAGACGGAAGAGGTAGTTTGATTTCTTTTTTATATATTAAGGAGTGTTTTGAATCGTTTTGAAAATTAAGGGGCATTTTAAATTAGGGCATATAGTTTGAGGAGTAATCATGAAAATAATCCAAAATTAAAAGCATGTTGCTGTTGGTTAGCTATAAAAAAGCGTTACTAATGTTGATTTTAGAAAGTGTTACTTACAACGCGAAGAAGGTAATATGTTACTCCAAGCATAAAATATACATTCTTGGTGTTATCTTGTTTTGATATAATTTTGATGTGATTTATCATCTAAACCTTTGATTCCGTAAAAGTGAAGAGGCATGTTTTGAAAAAACAGAGAAACAAATTGTTCTCCAAAAAAACAAAGCCATTTTTTGGAAAAAAAAAAAAAAGTAATTACTAATATAATTATTTTGCTATACTGAGAAATAATAATATTGGAGTTGAAAAATAATTATTCCTTTTGGCAAATAAGACAGAAGATGAGTAACGTTTTAACTATTCGTGTCAATGCATACTTTGACAAGTGTGAAATAATAATATGTGTAAAAAGTACGTTACTAATAATGTGTGAGACGTGTAAAAAGATATATGTTGCGATTTTGTAAAGAGAATTACGTTACTTAAAGAAGAAAAAGAAAAAAAACAAAAAACAAAAGGAGTTGCTAGCAACATGCGGTAGATATTCCCCTAAAATGGTAAAATTAAAAACATATTACCGTTTGTGAGCTATGTAAAAGGGTTATTAATGTCGATTTAAAAAAATGGTTCGTACAACACGAAGAAGGTAATATGTTACTATTTACTAAGAATAAAATATACAGTATTGATGGTATCTTGTTTGGATATAATTTTGATATGATTTATCATCAACACCTTTGATTGAATTGACTCTGTAAAAGTGAAGAGGCGTGTTTAGGAAAACAGAGAAAAACAAATTGTTTTCCAGAACACAAATCCTCTTTTTTTTTTTTTTTTTTTAAAAAGAAACAAAATTATTAATATAATTGTTTTGTTGTATTGAGAAATAATATTAGAGTTGGAAAATAATTATTCCTTTTTCCAAATAAGACACAAAATGAGTAACGTTTTAGCTGTTTGTGTCAGCGAATACTTTAATAAGCATAAATTTTTTGTTTGAATTTGCCAAAGTACGTTACTAGTATTGTGTGAAAGATATGAAAAGATATATGTCGCGATTTACAAAGAGAAAATACATTACTTTTTTTTTTAAGAGTTGCTGTGAGAGGTATTAAAAGATGTATGAGATCTTCAAAAGAAAATACTTTACTTCTGTGTTTTTTTTTTTTTTTTCTTTAGGAGTTGCAAGTAGCATGCAGTAGATATTCTCATAAAAACAAAAAATGCCGTAGATATTAAAAACACACAGTACCATTCGCTAGCTGTAAAAAATCGTTGCTAATGCTGATTGAAATAAAATGTGTTCCAAATAGAGTGAAGTATAATATATATATATATATATATATATATATGTTATTAAGATATACATATTAGTAGTATCTTGTTTTGCTATAACTTTGATGCGATTTCTCGTTGAAACTTTTGATTATGCAAAAGTGAAGAGGCGTGTTTTGGGAAATCAAAAGAAAACATAGCCATTTTTTGAGAAAAATAAAATTTAATATAATTTTTTTCTATTATTTTACAAAATAATATTTGAATTGGAAAATAATTATTCCTCTTGCTAAATAAGACACGAATAGAGTAACGTTTTAACTGTTTTTGTCAGCACATTCTGTGTAAGTGTGAAAAATATATTCATTTTTACCAAATGTAAATATATGTTACCAGTACTGTATAATAAGTATAAAAAGATGAATACTATTTACGAAGTATAAAACATAGGTTACTTCTATTTTTCTTAATTAAAAAAAAAAAAACTACGAGTAACATGCCGCAGGTATTTTTAAAAAATGCAGTAGATTTTAAAAAGTTTGTCACCATTTACTAGGTGTATAACAAGTGTTACTACCATTGTTTAACAAAAAGCGTTACAACTAGCATGAAATAGCTAATATATTTTGGTGTGATTTAACGTTTAAACCTTTGATTATGCTTAAGTAAAGAGGCGTGTATCTAGAGAATCAATATCTATTATTATATTTTTCTGTCTCAGTGGCTGTCTCTCTAATTAAATTTTGACATTTTGTAAATTGCTCAGGTATTTTTATTATTTTATTCCTATTTATGTGGTTAGATTCTTAAATTTAAATAACATGGTAAATAATTAGTGAAGAGACTATCAAGACAGAAAAATAAGGACATCAAATTTGTACTCGTATTTGAGAACATATAAAACAGCCATTTTCCGACAGGGAAATATATGTTTTTGGTCTCAACTCCGAGCGTATAGTAGTAATATAACTCCTCTAATTGTGTGTTCTTAAAAATATATAGCATTTGTGTGTGTAGATGAATTGTCGTTCTTCTACACTTGCCATGGTTAGCCTTAAAATGAAAATAAAATAACACAATTCACACAAGAGAACGCACTCCCGCAATAGTAATTATACCAACATTATCCAAGATAAGGAAAAAAAAAAAAAAAACGGATGCAAAAAGCAAAATTGGGGGGGTTTTTTTTTTTTTTTTAAAACCCCCTTTTTAAAAAGGGGGTTTTAAAAAAAAAAAAAAAACGGATGCAAAAAGCAAAATTGGGGGGGTTTTTTTTTTTTTTTTAAAACCCCCTTTTTAAAAAGGGGGTTTTAAAAAAAAAAAAAAAAACCCATCCAATTTTGCTTTATGCATACGTTTTTTTTTTATTTTTACAATCTCGCTTTTGAAACAGGTGTAGAAGGATTCGTCATGTTTTTGTTTTTGGTTTATTTGCTTGCTATGTCGCTTTGTTTGTTTCTTCTTTTGATGTTGTGTCTGAACATAATAATGTGAGAGATTTTTTGATATACATTGATAAGTCAGGTAATTCTAACCGTTAAATCTGCGTATTTTTTAATTTTTATGTGATTTTATGTAAATTCAACAGATAAAAAACCTAACTTATTAGTATGTTGGCATACCAGAGAAGGTCCCTAATAATGTTCCACTCTAATGTTCTCGGAGTTGATTTCTTTGAGTTTATGGAAGTACTGCGAAACAAGCTAATTTTGCTTTAAAAAAAAAAGAAAAAGATTGTACTAAATAGTGGTGAAATAGGCTACAAAACTAACTAAATTATGAGGGAAAAGAGGAATCAGAAGTTGGGCAAAAATGAAGAATAAGTTGAGTAGATTCTTAAGAAATACCAACATGGTTTGAATTGATAATAGGGAAGTATTTTATACTGGATCAAATAGTAATAGGTTTGGTTTGAAAAGAGTAGCTGAACAGCTTTCTGGTTTTAAAAATAAATTTAGCTCTAAAAATTCAAGTTAAAGAGTGAAATTTTTGCATTGAAAAACTTGAAGAGCAGCATGAAGAAATGATTGGAAGCGAGTCTCAGAGTTTGGTTGAAGATGTACTTGTTTCTCCATTTGATCAAGCCTTGTGATAGTACTGCATTAGAAGTTTCAGAAGTTGATTACTAACAGATTTTGAAAATTCGAGCAAGAAGGTTGAAGATGTAATTGGACTTGAAGTTTTAAATGAAGACAAAATGCGGGATGCTCTAAATTTAATGATAAATTGAAGGGGGAATTTGGCTGAATAACATATGGAAGCCTTATAGAAAGTGCTAGATGGAAGGTTGTTTTTATTTAACTGAAGAGCTCATGAGATTGTTAGATATTGAAACTAAAGGGTTCTAGAGCAAGGAACAAAGACAGACATTGTACAATTAGTTGGGGATTTAACTGACTTGCACATAGAGAGGAGCTCGACAAAAAGGTCGAACGGACGACTCGTCCCAATGTCGGATAAGAGTGATAGCTGAGTAGCTCCGGCACTATGAGGAGGCTCCTAAGGCGTGGTCAAAGTTGGAAAACCCAAGGTTCGATCACAATTAAACTACTAGTAGCGGAAGTGTTAGTTGTCACTCCCGGTACACGTTTGAGCCCACCAAAGATGAAGGCAAGCCTTCGACTATTAGGCTTGGTCAAGGCTAGCTCTTTGTTTTCTTCATCTTAATGTGTGGCTTTGAAGGCGTTGGTACTTACCAATGAAAGGTACGAAGATGGTGGTGATCAATGACATCATTGACATCTATCAGCAATGGCTAGGATTTGTGTTTGGGAACTCAGCATTTGGAGATTTCAGATTTTTCAAGTTTGTTTTACTTTTCTTTTAGAAAAATGAAAGCTTGATACCAATTTACATTTAAGAATTATAAGGAACCAACTTACATTCCTCAATACAAAAGGGTCTTCTGTTGTAACCAAAAAAACAGAGGGTACCAACATAAATTATTTTCCATTTGCAAATTAGGCAAGTTATCAATTTCAATATGGAATTCCTGTGAAAAAAAGGATATTGGTTTCTAAATGTAACAAACGAGCTAAGAAATAGAATCGATCGACCAACCATCAAGTCACTAGGCCAATCTCAAGCAAAACAATAAAGGAATTCAATAAAGAACAAGTCCTCTATATGTAAAACAAAACTGTCGATACAAAACAAATTGGGGAAGTATTCCAATAACAGAAAAAAACAATACCAAAAGCCTTAGAGAAAGAGTGCTACTTTGATGAAGAGGTAAAATCCATGTGTTTCTCACTGATCACCAGGCAGTGACTTGATAATGTCGGAATCACCTGAGCAAATATAATATTAAAGTTAGCCAAATCCGCTTTTCACACATTTTTTAGGTAATTTACAACATATCTCAATAAAAGGAGTAAGTTTAGTCATACTGACCTGGATCGAGAATGCTAAGACATGATACGCGGTAATACTTGCCACAAGCTGTCCCCAGGTCGACATTGTCTGAAAGCAAGCATCAAGATAAGAATCATAAATCATATTGTATTGGTTAGATTAAAGTACTCAAATCATAGTCGGTTTAACAAGAAGATGTCATGTCTTGTGCAAGCGTATGTGGAATGTATAATCTCAATGTAAGGGTCACTAAAATATTGTACAAGATGAAACAGCTTGATAGAGGAGGTTGATTTCCAAACACAACAGCGATGCAAAATCCCAATGGAAATTCGTAAGTAGAATGAAAAAACAGAGTAACAGACGATGAGGCATAGGCAGTAGACCATATGATTCTCTGATTAAAAATTGTAGTCTGCAAAAATCATCTACTAAAATTTGCGTCACAGGTCATGTTCAGATACCCAATCTGAACACGAGCAGACAGGGAGCCTCAACTCGACATGAACATGAACCGTGATACAAATTGCTAACCCTGCCATCACATTATATCACAATGTGATACAACCTCGGACCCAACTCTGCCTACGAGCCCACCTGAGCAGAATAGGCCAGCGTCCACAGTCCAGGAGGAGGCCCAGAACATCACCAGGATAGAAAGGCCCAAGAAGATTCCCGGGAAATACAAAGACTGTCTTAGGGAAACCTTAATTCAGAATATTGTTATTTTTATTTTCTTGCTTTGCTGAGTTGGATTTTGTTAACGAGTTATGTAACCAATTTCTGTTTTCACCCGAGGTAGCAAGAGGCTAGCTAAAAAGGGGTGCTGATTGTTGTTATGGGGATTATCAATGAAATGAAATAGATTTTCTACCTTCCTTTCCTCTCATCTCCTCTGAAATATCCTTCCCAATTTCTTGTTTCTGGAGAACTCACCCGCTCAAAAGGGGTGATCCTGATACCTTGCTCTTCCTTCCAAGAAGAAGGTATCAATTGGTGCTTTCATTGAGTTTTTTCTGCATGGCGGAATCCGAGCTCTTGGCTGCTTTCAAAGCTCTACAGACACAACTGGACGATCAAACACTGGCGTTGCAGGCTCATTTTGAGAGTCAGACACAGACGATGAACAAAACTCTTCTTCAACACGTGGCTTGTATTGAAGATCTTCGTTCACAGACCGCATCGCTATTCTGGGGGACCGTCTCATCACCCACCGGTGACGAATCAACTCACGGACAATCAGTTGGGCCATCCGGAGCTTTCTCCTGTTCTCCGTTCCATTAATTTGACGGTACTGATCCTGATAGCTGGATTTTCCGTATACAAGAATTTTTTGATTTCCATAATACCAATGAGGATTCTCGTCTTCGTATCGTGGCATTTCACCTCGAGAGTCGTGCGTCTGCTTGGTACTAGTGGATGAAGAGCAACAGACTCCTCACTACGTGGCCAGCGTTCATGCACAACCTCCGGCTCCGATTCGGGGCATCGGCGTATGAGGACCCTCAGGGGTTGCTCTCCAAGCTATCTCAACGAGGAACGGTTGCAGAGTTTCAATCTGATTTTGAGACACTGATGAACAGAGTAACAGGTATTTCTGAACCCCTCTTGATTTCTTTTTTTGTATATGGTTTAAGAACACCGATTCAGAGGGAATTGCTCCTCAGTCGGCCACCGTCCCTCATGGACGCTTTTGCCTTAGCCAGGGCCTTCGAAGCCCGAATGGAGGACTCGGGACGTGATAATCGCCCGTGGTCCAAGTGGAATCCCAAACAGGCCCACCCACCAACTGTAGGCCCAAACCCACTCGCCCCAACCTCTACCCACACAAACCGACCTCCCCAATTCAGCCCTACTCCAGTACATACACACGCCGCCGTACCATCCGCGTTGACCACTGTTCCTCCGCCCACAAACAATCCTCAGCCACCACTTTTACCCACCCCGACCCTTCCAATTCGCCGTTTAACGCCGGCGGAGCTGCGCCAAAAACATGAACCGGGGCTTTGCTATAATTGTGACCAGAAATGGACTTCTGGCCATCGTTGTCGCAGCAAGTATCTCTTGCTCTTGGGAACGGAGGATGACGACGAGGAATACTCCAGTGAACCACCAGAGCCGGTCCTCGACATGGGGGATGACACTGTGGTTTCGGGTGATATCTCCAGTTTGCATGCCTTGGCCGGTCAAGGGAATCCTCGGTCACTTCGGCTTCTGGGCCACCATGGCTCCAACAATTTTCAGGTCCTCATCGATAGTGGTTCCACTCACAACTTCATCAAACCACGCCTCGCCGAACGTCTTGGCCTCTCGGTTAAGCCCATTTCAGCCTTCAAGGTCTATATTGGCAACGGTGACTGTTTACTTTGCAAACACTTATGTCCTCAGGTACCTTTATCCCTGCAAGGGTATGAGTTTCTGGTCGATTTATATATTCTGCCCATTGAAGGTCCTGATGTGGTTTTGGGAATTCAATAGCTGCAACGGCTCGGACGAGTCTCGCATGACTACGCTGTTCCATCTATGGAATTTGTGTACAATGGATCCTTGGTGGTTCTCTAGGGTGAATCCTCCTTGGCGCCGCGGCAAATCTCTTTCAACCAGCTCCATGCCCTCCTCACCAATAACATTGTTCATGGCTTGTTTGAACTCCACCACCTCCACCCAAATTCCCCTGATACCTCCATTCCAGTTGGCCTTCCCTCGGATGTACCTCCCCCTCTTCACGCCCTCATTGCCTAATTCCAAGACTTGTTCACCGTGCCCACCTCATTACCCCCTCACTGCCCTAATGACCATCACATTCATTTGCTCCCAAATGCCAAACCAGTCAATGTCCGGCCTTATCGATACCCGCATTTTCAGAAATCTGAAATGGAAAAGTTGGTGAGAGAGATGTTAGAGCAAGGTATTATACGACCCAGCCATAGTCCCTTTTCATCACCGGTTCTAATGGTCAAGAAGAAGGATGGGTCGTACCGATTTTGTGTCGATTACAGGGCACTAAATGCAGCCACAATCCCCGACAAATTTCTGATCCCAACAATTGATGAATTGTTGGATGAATTAGGAGGAGCAACCATTTTCACCAAGTTGGATTTGCATGCCGGGTACCACCAAATCTGGGTTCATTATCGGGATATCTTCAAGACAGCGTTCCGTACGCACGAGGGCCATTTCGAGTTCTTGGTTATGCCGTTTGGGTTGTCGAATGCCCCTTCCACATTCCAAGCAACTATGAATCAAATTTTCTCGACTTTTCTTCGAAAATTTGTTATCGTATTTTTTGATGATATCTTAATTTATAGTACATCGGTTACTGACCATTGTTCTCATTTGCAGCAAGTGTTCTCTTGCCTCCGGGAACATCAATTTTACATTAAGCTATCCAAATGTTTGTTTGGCCGTACCTCCATCGACTACTTGGGCCATGTTGTGTCGGCAATGGGGGTTCAGGCAGACCCACTACAGCAGTGGCCGAGTGGCCCCTTCCTTCTTCAGTCAAACAATTACGTGGATTCTTGGGTCTTACCGGGTATTACCAGCGGTTCATTCGGGGCTACGCGTCCATCGCCGCGCCGCTCACTGATTTGTTGGTAAAAGACGATTTCACGTGGTCTGATATTGCCACGGGTGCTTTTGAGGCTCTTAAGCAAGCACTGTTGGTTGCCCCGGTATTACGCTTGCCCGACTTCACTGAAGAGTTTATTGTGGAGACCGATGCCTCCAATGTGGGAATTGGAGCAGTACTTATGCAAGCCGGACATCCCATTTCGTACTTCAGCCGGAAGTTGGGACCCAAACTGCGCATTGCCTTGACATACATTAAGGAGTTACACGCCATAGCGGAAGCAGTTCATAAATGGCGGCAATATCTCCTTGGTCGTTTTTTTGTCATTTGGACTGACCATAAAAGCATCAGGGATCTTCTCTCTCAGGTGGTGCAAACTCCGAATCAACAAGTTTTCATTTGGAAGCTTCTCGGGTTTAATTTTCGTATTGAATATAAACCGGGAAAGTCCAACGCGGCTGCTGATGCTTTATCTCGCATCCATGATATAGGTGAGGGCTCCCGTGGCATTCCACCGAGTTGTCTCACCCTCGACAGCAGGCCCATGCCACTGTTCTTGGAATCCCTGCGAGCTAAAAATGAGTCTTTGGCTGATTTGGTGGCCTTACATGGCCGGTTGGCCAAGGGATCACTAGATTCCAAATTCTCAGAGCACCAAGGTATTCTTCTCTTTCGTGGCCGCTATTATATCAGTCCACATTCTGCGTTGAAAACAACGCTTTTGAATGAGTTTCATGCGTCTCCGATGGCGGGACACGCAGGAATCAAACGAACATTGGTCCGTCTGGCATCCGTCTTTTATTGGCCAAACATGAGAAAAGATGTAGAGACCTTTGTGTCTTGTTGTGCAATCTGCCAGGCTACAAAGTACTCCACCAAAGCTCCGGCAGGACTTTTGCAGCCTCTACCGATTCCCTCACTAGTTTGGGATGCCTTAACGATGGATTTTATCACACATTTACCCACTTCTCATGGTTTCACCATCATCATGGTCGTCGTCGACAGACTCACCAAGTAAGCACATTTTGGTGCTCTTCCGCCTCTTTTTCCAGCCACAAAGGTCGCTGCTCTCTTTGCGGACTTGGTGGTTAAGCTCCATGGATTTCCACAATCCATAGTGTCCGATCGTGATCCCGTTTTTATGAGCCAATTCTGGTCTCAGCTGTTCGAATTAAGTGGGACTACCTTGAAACATAGCACCGCGCATCACCCGCAAACCGATGGACAGTCTGAGGTTTTCAACCGGGGGCTTGAGCAGTATTTGCGCGCTTTTGCGAATGAGAAACCCTCCAGTTGGTATTCATTTCTGGGTTGGGCAGAATTTTCCTATAACTCGAGTTATCACAGTGGCCTCAAAATGTCTCCATTTCAGGCCTTGTATGGCCGGCTTCCACCATCCATCCCACCGTATTTACAGGGCTCTACTTCAATCCAATCTTTGGACGACCTTCTGGTGGAAAGGGACCTACTGTTGCGTCATCTCAAGGAGTGCCAGTGCTCAACACCGAACAAAACAAAAAGCCGATGCTCATAGACGGGAGTTGCATTTCAGTGTGGGTGATTTGGTCCTGCTGCGTTTACAACCGTATAGGCAGATTTCAGTGGCAAGGAGGGTGTCTCACAAACTTGCCAAACGTTTTTACGGCCCCTTCAAAATCCTGGAACGCATTGGTCCGTGGCCTACAAGCTTGAGCTTCCCTCCCAATCACAAATCCACAACGTGTTCCATGTTTCTACTCTCAAACCTTTCCGAGCGTCATCAACGGTGCACAGCACCAAATTGCCCACTACGTTTGTCAATAATCAACCGGTGTCTACTCCTGTTGCCATTTGCGCAATACGCCAGGTTTTGCAGCAGGGGAAGTTACAGGTGCAGCTCTTAGTTCAATGGAGCGACAGTGCACCCGAAGAAGCCACTTGGGAGCCTCTGGACCTATTTCGTGTGGCTTACCCTGAATTTCACCTTGAGGACAAGGTGTTTTTTCAAGATGGGGGGAGTGATACGACCTCGGACCCAACTCTGCCTACGAGCCCACCTGAGCAGAATAGGCCAGCGTCCACAGTCCAGGAGGAGGCCCAGAACATCACCAGGACAGAAAGGCCCAAGAAGATTCCCGGGAAATACAAAGACTTTGTCTTAGGGAAACCTTAATTCAGAATATTGTTATTTTTATTTTCTTGCTTTGCTGAGTTGGATTTTGTTAACGAGTTATGTAACCAATTTCTGTTTTCGCCCGAGGCAGCAAGAGGCTAGCTAAAAAGGGGTGCTGATTGTTGTTATAGAGATTATCAATTAAATGAAATAGATTTTCTACCTTCCTTTCCTCTCCTCTTCTCTGAAATATCCTTCCCAATTTCTTGTTTCTGGAGAACTCACCCGCTCAAAAGGGGTGATCCTGATACCTTGCTCTTCCTTCCAAGAAGAAGGTATCACAATGACTATAAAGTAATACCACTTTTCTACTACCACCAGAAGAACCTAATCCAATTTAATCTCGTCACAATAACTTCTCAATGAACAATTCAAGTTCGTCTCAAGAAATTTCTTAATTGTAGTTCCCCTATTAGTAAACGATAGGGAAAATCAAAAGCCAACCAAACTTACGAACACTGCCATACTTAATGCAACCCAAAGACGCTAACGAGAAGCTCAATAACAAAAAAACAAAAAAACACAAAAACAAAAAGAAAAACAAAAAAAGATGAAAATAATAATACATTTCGAATTAATTACAAAGTCTACCGTTAAAGACTTACTTCCATTGTAATGGTGAACCCCAATCTTGGCAAGCATGGCATAGTACTCGATCTCCGATTTTCGCAGAGGCGGGCAGTTGTTGGAGATTATAATCAGCTTCCCTGCATTTCCATAAGTGAATCTCAGTAATCAAAATCACAGATTATCCAAACATTTGAATCTCAAAGCAAAGAAATTTAACGAAATATCATCAAATTAAAGGAAAAACCTTTGGAGCTGCGAAGAGAGCGTAGAACAGTCTTGTAACCGAGGCTGTACTTGCCGCTCTTCATAACCAGAGCGAGCCTGTTGTTGACGCTCTCATGGGTCTTCTTCTGCATTTACACCAAAAATACCATCAAAATTCAGATCAACGACAAGAAGGTTAAAAACAATGCGTTAGAGAAAGAAAATGGAGATTAAGAGAGAGAAACGTACGGTCTTCTTCGCGGTCACCATTGTTGCAGATGAAACGGAGTCCGAACTTACCTGGTGGAGTCGTCTCTGCGGAGAAGAGGAGGCGAGGTTTTGCTACTCAAGGCGGTTTTTAGGGTTTATTATCAAGGTGGAGTTGCACGTGCAGATCACGTGATTAAAAATGGGCTAGCTCTATCTGGAGCCCAATAAGCTTTTTAATGGGCCAATACTTTATAGGTCCTAAATAAAGTTGAAGTTGAAACATACCACTTTTTTTCTGAAAAATTTAAGCATAATTTTTAATGTTAATTTCATAAATGTCCCTGAACTTTATACTTATGTTTCAACATTACTCCCTGAACTTAAAAAAGAGTCCATTTCATCTCATAAATTTTATACCTTATTGTAACGTGCCTATGTACTCTATCTAAGTTAATTGTTATTTTTCGTTTCATTAAATAATTAAATACAAATTTTTATATGTAGACTTCAAAATATTTATGAATTAAAACTCGGATATCTTTCTCTTTTTTTAAGGTGTTTTAAAATTTGGCATCTTATAACAATTTTTTTTGCTAGTACATTTTATGACACCTTATGAAGTACATTAAGACGTTTTATACACTATATGAGCACGTTGGTATTATTTTAAACTTAATTATATGGTGCTTGACTACATTCATTTTGAATTCAAAATTAATACAATACAAACTGTCATAAAAAAAAATATGTATTCTACTTAATCGTATACTTATTAGGATCATTTTATCTTCTTACTTTCTATAGTTCTACCATCAACCATGATGCCTATTTATGCTCATTCTATATTTAACATTGGTGCTAAGTTAGGGTTGGTGTTAGGTTCTATTTCAAGGTCCAAGGTCAAAACCGGTGCATTTCCAGGGGAAAAAAAGGCCACATAGAGGAGCCAGAATTATATTTCAAGGGGGCATAAATTAAAAATGTGAAGAATTTCTCAATACTAATAATATCAACTACTAATACTATTAGCTAGTTGGAGTACATTTTAAACACGTGCATATTTAGGACTTATAAAATCTAAGCACTATAATGGTTGCATGTACTTTTACGTTTAGCCATACTCTTGTGAATGACATAATTAACATGCTTTATGCGTTTGATAAGAAAATATATTTAAGAGAAAATAGTAATTGAGAATGTTACTTTTAAAAAAAAATGCTTAGGGATGTATTTGAGAAAGATCATTTACATTTTTCTTGTGAGGATTACTTTTGATATAATAAATATCACATGAAATAATATTATAGAACGGACAAATTTGAAAAAAAAAAAAGTTTTAACTAGAGTAAATTAAAGAAAAATAATTCAATTATATATACTAAAAAGTATAGAATTTAATAGAAAAGAACCAAAAAAACAATCAGAAAAACGAATTAGTCAAAGAAAATATTTAGATTAGATTTAATGAAAACATTTTGAAATTTTTATCAATAAAAGAGTGGCATATATATAATAAAAAAATTTGAGAATTTATGGGGTAAAATTTTAAAAACCAAATATTTAGTGGGGCATATGCCGGGGGGCCTCACCTGCCTCCGCCGGTGGTCACAACTAGTGCTTGTGATGGGGTTCGGTTAATACATAAGTTGAACGGGATCGGGGATGATGCCTAAATTTTCTCATTTTATTTATATTTAATACATATCCAATACGCATAGCATAGGCAAACTCATAAGATGATAAGGCTGTGCGTGTGAATCCTGGCTAGAGAGCTCCTTTCTATAAAGTAAAGGGATGATAAACAAACATGTTAGCTACTAAAATACCACATAAAACCAGTATTCACTATATTGTTTAAAAATTATATACAAAACGTCACATTTAAAGTGGTATAAGGCAAAGAAACTTAGAAAATAAAACAAATAGAACCACAAGACTTGAGCACTGTATAAGATCCTAGCAAATCTTTTCAGATTTAGAGACGATTTCCGTGAAAAAGACAGGTTCTTTAATTATTGGGATTGTGTAGCCAACGGACGAATTGATAATGATATCAGAATTTTTAATCTTGTATTATTGAAATGGTGGACACATCTCAGAGACTAAGGGAAATATGTATACCGCATACTGTGATCATATACATTAATCTACACTTGTTGTTGAAGTATATGAAGTTAGTTTGTCTTCAAGCTCCAAAGGTGTACTTGTCGTACGCCTGATTAATTGTTTACATATTGTTGAAAGATCAAGGAAATCCTTAATTATGAGCGTAAAATGTAGATGATGTTTTTGATTGTAATACAATTTGTTCTTAATTGGGTGATCGACTTATGCTGAAGTGACATCTTGGTTAATCAAATATTCCCACCTTCTTTATTATGTAATACATGAAGTCTTTTTTTTTTTTTTTTTAAATAACTCTCCCGAAATTTGAAATTATCTACTACCTTCCAAAAAATATATTAAGCTAAATAATTAAGTGTATGGTTTTTAAGAGGAGAGAGAGAAACAGTTTCAGGCTTCAAATTATAAGGTGTTAATATTGCATTCAAAAATGGTATTCATCCTTATGGGTAAAAGCTGTTTAGACTTAGGTCTTATGACTATCCTACTAAATTAAATTTCAGCTACCCATTTAACAGGACTTATTCTATATGAGCAACGGAATTTTTTTTCACAAAAAATATACATAAATTGAGAATAACTCTAAATCATAATTCTAAATCTATAAACTAAACGTCTAATAATTTCATAAGATGAATATGAGTGCTCAATTGGGCGTGGGAGGTAGTCTTTTCAGTCAGCTAGTGCCAAAAATAAAAGTAATCCTACCTCTTGTTTGTTGTGAGCAATTATATATGGCTATGTTCAGACTTAGCTAGTTTGCAGTTGGCACTTTGTTTTGGAGCGAGAGGGGCCTGTCCTAAAGCCATTGTGTACAATAATAAAGAGAAGACTACCTAGCTAGTACATCTCATCATTAATTTGATGTGCATATAATTTTTTTTCCCAACCGTTTAATAAAGACTTGAAAGATGATATATAGTGCGAAGTGTTACTTTGAGTGTTCCAACAAAAGTTACAACATGATCCGTGACATTAGCTATTGAAGAAAGGTTAACGGTGTGAATTTTTTTTTATTTTTTATTTTGTAAACTTTATGTTTCAGTCTTTGGCTTTATTTTGTCAAAAAGGGGGAGAACAATGTGTTAGCTTTTCTAATTTTTCTAGTTTTTGAATTTTTATTGAAAATAGAAACTTGTGTTAGTTTTGTTAAAAAATGCCAATGGGAGAAATTGTTAAGATTTTATTAGTAGGCATATTTTCGAGTTGGGTTGTACAAAATTCAAAAACATGGTCAAGTTCATTTTTGACATTTGTGGACAGCTATGGAAACTCTATTTCAGGATATTTGCACTGGATTTGGAATGATTTTCCACCATAGAAGGAAATCAAAGAAAATCAGCTATGAAGCTGATTGGTTTGACTTTTGGTGACTATTTGATGAGGCTGTTTTAGAAAGAATCCGTTGAGGAGAAGTTGCTTTGTTTAGGGTGATTTTGGTGGGAGAATAAATGGGTCTGTTGACCAATTTGGGTTGTATATAATTAGTATACAGCCATGAACGTGAGGCAGTGCTTTTGAATGAAATATTCTGCAGCAAAAGACTGCTTTGATGTTCTTTGAGTAAAAAAAACAAAAGGTGGTTTTTCGGGAGAACGTATTGCTTTCGTGAGAAAGTTTTCAAAGACGAGTGGTGCTCGCTGAACAAGGCCACTAAGAGGATTCTTCACAGCGGCGACAACATCAAGGATGAAGTCTTTGAGTGTGTAAGACCGATTGGTGTTTGTAATCTCTTTATCTTAGTGGATTGTTCACTGCATAGGCGTGGCCCCGCAGATATAGATGTGCGCACCGAACTGCGATATCAATTCCTTGTTTCTTTTATGTTTCCGTTGATTTTTCTGCACTTATAATTTGCTGCTGCTGAATCAAAGAAAAAATATATTCTTCTGCATGTATCTATCATCAATGTTACAACTAGTGTTATAACACTATTTGTGACACCAAAAACGGACCTTTCATATAGGATCCTTTCGCGGTAAATTATTAGTGAATGCCAGGGCCATGGTGATAGTGATATATAGATATTGGGCAGTACCATTAATAGTGATACGTAATGTATTTTCATCATAGACCATAGATAGTGGCGTGTGTTTTGACAAGGACATTGTCTAGTCTGACCGATAAAATGAAAGCTAAACCAAGACTAATCACGTTTATACTGCTTATATATATATATATATAATATGTTTGTATTAATCCTGTAATATACTTACACATGTGAATCCCTAGCATGTATGTGTGGTTTTCTGAAAGGATATATCAAGGATGTGTAGTTAATGTTTATGATACTCTACAAATAGAAATTTATCAAAACATGCCAAGCTGCCCCAAAACATTTATAAAAGCCTCTACGATTAATTAAAAATAGAGCTTTTCTGTTAAGATAAAAAAAAATGAACTACCAATAATTTTTTATTATTAGCTGTTAAATTTGTATTAAAAATTATTTTTTCTGCATACTTTTCAATTTGATGTGATTTTAATATAATCTAATAGTCAGAAATTGACACTATTGATAAATTTAGCCTACTAAAGAAACTCCTTAAAATTTTCGCTATCTTGCCTAAAGTTTTTATTAATTAATTCTTGTAAATTTGAGAAGTTTTCATTTTTGTATGTGTATAAATCCTACTCCATGTTTGTTTTTTGAAAAAGCTGTCCTCTCGGATAATTAGGCTTGACCTGTTGACTTGAATTTTTAATGATGTGCATACGTATAATGGCCAATTTCAATTATCATACTTTTAATTATTATTAGCTGTTAGATTTGTATTAAAAACTATTTTTTCTGCATACTTTTTAATTTGATGTGATTTTGACATAATCTAACAGTCAGAAATTGATACGACTGATAAATCTGGCCTACCAAAAAAACTCCTTAAAATTTTTGCTATCTTGCCTAAAATTTTTATTAATTAATTCTTGTAAATTTGAGAAGTTTTCATTTTTGTATGTGTACAAATCCTACTCCATGTGTGTTTTGGAAAAAGCTGCCCTCTTGGGTAATTAGGCTTGACCAGTTGACTTGGATTTTTAATGATGCACATACGTATAATGGCCAATTTCAATTATCATATTTTTAATTATTATTAGCTGTTAAATTTGTATTAAAAATTATTTATTCTGCATACTTTTTAATTTAATGTGATTTTAACATAATCGAATAGTCAGAAATTGACACTACCGATAAATCTAACCTACCAAAGAAACTCCTTAAAATTTTTGCTATCTTGCCTAAAGTTTTTATTAATTAATTCTTGTAAATTTGAGAATTTTTCATTTTTGTATGTGTACAAATCCTACTCCATGTTTGTTTTGGAAAAAGCTGCCCTCTTGAGTAATTAGGCTTGACCAGTTGACTTGGATTTTTAATGATGCACATAAGTATAATGACCAATTTCAATTATCGTACTTTTAATTATTATTAGCTGTTAAATTTGTATTAAAAATTATTTTTTCTGCGTACGTTTTAATTTGATGTGATTTTAATATAATCTAATAGTCAGAAATTGACACTACCGATAAATTTAGCTTACCAAAGAAACTCCTTAAAATTTTTGCTATCTTGCCTAAAGTTTTTATTAATTAATTCTTGTAAATTTGAGAAGTTTTCATTTTTGTATGTGTACAAATCCTACTCCATGTTTGTTTGTTTTGAAAAAGCTGCCCTCTCGGGTAATTAGGCTTGACCTGTTGACTTAGATTTTTAATGATGCGCATGCGTATGATGGCCAATTTCAATTATCATACTTTCTTTCATGGCTAGCTAGCTAAGCCTGACCCAACTTGACAGACAATTTGCATTAGGGCCAATGAAGGTCATATTCCGAAGATTGATAGTAAGCAGTACAATCGCATTGACATATACGGCATGTACTTTTCACAATTGGAGTTGAGAATTTAAATTGTAAAGTAATTTTTATGTGATAAAAAATACTATAACATGAAAATTAAATTTAAATTTTTATGAAGAAAAAGTAAATTTTATTTGAGAAGAAACGCATCAATATAAAAATTAAAAAAGTTTGGATTATGATTGTGGAATAAGCATGGCCACATATATGTTTCACATATTGTATTGCTAAGGGATGCAGGACTAGGTCACCAAGTCAGGAAACTACTAGAAGACCCAAGATATTGTTTCACATATGTGTATCATGATAATCAGATTAAAAAACAAAAGCTAGTATCATGATAAATTTAATTTAGGAAGAATTACATCTTAATACTTTGTGTTTTATCAAATTAGTAAATTGATATCTCAATAAATAAGTAATACTAAGTAAATACGTTAAAAATGCCCACCGAATACTTTTTGGCCCTTTTTTATGCCCTAATGTCAGTTAAATACATAATAAAGAAAATTAGTTTTTTTTTCAGAAAATAAAATGCATTTTATTCTAAAAAAAGAAGTAAAATTAAGTGTTGTTTTTGCTCTTTTTTTTTCCCTCGAACTCTTTGGCTATTTTCAAAAATTCAAAAATTAAATAAAGTAATATGGAGCCCCCTCAAAAAAAAATATGGAATTTATAATTAGAAGGACATAAAGACAATAATTTACACTTTAAAAAAATAAAGACATTGGTTAAGTTTTAAAATTGGCCGCGTGATATTCGGAGGTCGACATTTTGTTTTTTTTTTTAAGTGTATGATATCAATTTGGTGTAACAATATTCACAAATGCAATAAAATAGAGGATAACAAAATGTAATAATTTTTTATTTTATTCATGTATTTATAAATTTTAACGATATGATCACTAGCCTTGATACATATAATCCCAAATTAATTTATCACACAGGAAATTTTGTCACTTTTAGAAGATATTCAATCAATATATTGAGGTAGAGTGGGGTGAGGTCCAAAAGAAAAATTAAGAACCTTAAAAAAAAAAAAAAAAATGAAGAGCTTATAATTGAAGTTTGCATCCTTCAGAGGTCAAATATTCATAAAACTCATGTCCAAGGGCCCCCAACATTAATGTTTGCGCGACAGTTTTTTGTTTCAAAGCCAAATGATTTGCATTAGTTTATATTATATATACCATCAAAGTTAGCGGGAGATATCGACCACACATTGTTCACTCTATCATAAAAGACTCCAAAAAGAGGGAAAATTAAAAAAAAAGAAAAAAGAAAAATAAAACTTCGTTTTCATGAAGATAGGACTCATATTGAAGTGGCAACCTAGAAACCTTTTTGAAAACTTAATCTGATCATCAAAAAAAGATATTGCATATTGCTTTAAAATATACTCATTTTCCAACTTGTTGGTTGCCATCTGGCACAGTAGCCACACTCATCTGGGCTTTGTTTATTATTCTCTGTCTTCCTCATAACTTTTTTTTAGTTTTTTCCTTTCTTTCTTCCAAAGTAAAAAGAGAGGAAAACAATTTTGTACAGTGCCACTGCCCAATCAATAACCAAATCAACCAAGCAATTTCACAAGAAGACAATCACTAGTGTACAAAATGGGAGCTACCTTACCTGCTCCATTAAAATTTCTAGTTGCCACGTGGCCGTCGCATCAGCCGTTGGTGTCCTAACTACCAAATGTCTCGTTTGATCAACCGATACATGGCATATGCTGCTGATGCCATCAAAACCATATAATGTACATTATACATATATAATGTATTGTACAATGTTTTAAATTAATTAATGGTGTTGGAAAAATTTTCAAAGTTTGGACGGGCTTTTGTCCACTAGTGTTGCTCTCAAGCTTTACCAGAAAAAGGAAACTGTTTCTACTTTCTACTTTCGTGTACCCAAAGTATTGAACTCTTCCTCTTTCTCTTCAACGCGTAATTGGATTTGGAGGCAAATTAATAACAATCAAGGTTTTATAACCGAATACCAATTTTATATTGATCAATCATTTTTTATAAAGGCCCTGCTAGCTCTGATGAATTGTATGTCATTTCATCATGTGGACGTGGTGAAATGCCTAGATAAGACATAAGAGAAGAGGGGTCTATATGCAGAGATAGAGCAAAATAATTAGAATTATCCACATTTATGTAAATGGGACAGGCCAATTGGGCTACTAAATAGAAGCTTTAAAGAAGGGAATCCACAGGGTTTTCGGAGAAGGTTCTTGCACTTTCTAGGACCCCCTTTACTTCAATTGGTCTTTTTTCTTTATTGTTATTATTATTTTTAATTTTTTTATGTTGATATTTCCATTGAGCTATCTTTTTGGACACTATAAAAAACACATAAACCAGCAAGACCCGGACTAGTGTATTGTCTCCTAGCTACCATCTTGTGACTCGTAATTGCTCTCTTAATTTCCTTTCAAGCTCTCTTCTGATTCTTAGCTCCCTTATACATTTCAGACAAAAGTACTTTGGACTAGTCTTAAGTCTCTTTTCATAAATTCATGATCAACCCAATCTCCCTTCTCTAGGAAATTTCATATTATATCTCTTCTCTGATCAAGTTCAACCTCTTCCAAATTATACAAAACAAGTTTTTTTTTTTTTTTTTTTTCATTTGCGATCATTAATCTCTCATTGTGAAAGAAAGTCTTTGACCACTTGTAATCATTCCCAAAAAGTGAGGGAAAAATAAAAATGGGAGTTGAAGGTACTTTGGAGTACTTCTCTAATCTACTAAGTTCGAAAAAACGCAAGAAAAAGAAGCAAATGCAAACTGTAGCCCTCAAAGTCAGGATGGACTGTGAGGGTTGTGCTCGCAAGGTCAAGAGTGTCCTCTCCGGTGTCAAAGGTATCTATATATATATATATATATATATATATCTCTATATATGTGCGTGATATATATATATATATATGTTCTAAAAGTAAATATTGGTGTAAATTATTATTAATGGATGCGAAGAATAATATTAATATTGCAGGGGCTAAATCGGTGGACGTGGACTTGAAACAGCAGAAGGTGACAGTAACAGGGTATGTGGAGCCAAAGAAAGTGTTGAAGGCGGCTCAGTCCACAAAGAAGAAGGTCGAGATGTGGCCTTACGTTCCCTACCCTCTGGTCGCCAATCCGTACGTCGCTCAGGCGTACGACAAGAAGGCCCCGCCCAACATGGTCAGGAAAGTCCCCGACACCGCCACCGCCACGGAGACCACCGTGGACGACCGCTACACCCAGATGTTCAGCGACGAAAACCCTAATGCCTGCTCCATCATGTAGAAAAAATAATATAATAATATTAGTTAAACTCACGCACGTCCGTACAAAACGAGCAATATTTTGTCAACGCAAGTTCATGTGAAAATCATAATATGGGACCTCGCGGACGTTGATGTTCACTAGTGCTAGATAAGCCAAATAGTGGGGTGATTGATTATTTTGGGCTTCATATTATGATTATGATTGATTAATATATATCTTCTTGCACCAACCTCCTATGTAGAGGCTCTGGCGCACGCGCTGGAGAGTTATTAATTACAAGAGTTTTAATGGTGACCGTCGATATATAGTTCGTTTTGCGGTCTCTGTTACATATAAAATTATTATTAATCTACTTTCTAACGGCTTAAATTTTTGAGATTAATTGATAAACTAATATGATATTAGAATAAAAAGTATTGAGTTCAAACTTCCGTAATTACACTCTTTATTTCTATTTAAATTATTAAGTTTTTAATATCTATCAGGCTTAAATATTCACATATTTGGCATTTCAATTAATTTACCTATACTTATCCAGTCCACAACTTAAGTTTTGGGGATGAATTGTTAAGCTAACAGCGTCCGTTTGATCTACATCTACGATATCATTCCAAATTAAATACACTATCGTTATGTAATATACTCGTTCTAACAAGTCTCATTTGGATAGATCTCGTTCTGATAAATCCATTTTCATGATATATATGCACAATATCATTATACTCTTCGCTTATTACGACAACATCGTTTCATATTCTTCTGATTTTCTTCATATAATTTAGTGTTCTTTGTAATGTTGCGTTAGTTTCGAACAACGTCATTTTCTTTCGAGTAAAGATCATCCCCATTGGTATTGATTATGATATTCACAGTGATAAAAATAGCTATGCATGTTTATGTGGATAAGATCTATCGATCAAAGATGTATGGTTTCTTTAATTAATTAGTTTTTTTAAGTGAATTAAAAGTGAAATTGGTCGGTACACGTTAAACAGCTAGTGGCGCTAAGAAATATTAGTTGGTTAAACTAATTAAAGCACAAACGATGACGTAGGACACCTTGAAATTAATTAGGATAATACAAATAGATGATCACCTAAAGACCTCACGAAAGTGGTACTTGTCGCTCATCCTTAAACAGGGGATTTATTGACTCAATAAGCTATCCTTAATTTATTAAGTACTTATTTTTTAAGTGCTATGAAAAATAAAATTAACCCAGAAGCATAAGCACAATTTAAATTTATGAAGTGCTTATTTTTTAAGTGAGAGCTTTTTACTGTAGTAAAAAAGTTAAATTTGACTGTTTATGAGAATTTTTTACTATAATAAAACTCAAATTTTAAACTCGAATCGGTAAAATGAACATGACTAAGGCATCCTAGATTAGGGAAAGTGAAGTGGCGCGTTATAGCGAACGTCCAAGTGTACAACAACGGCCGAAGAGAACAACAAAATGGCTAATGCAAAGAGAACTATAAATTGGCTAGTTAACGAAAGCGTCGGTTAATTTCCTTTTTCGCTTTATCTACGATCCTAATCAATTGTTAAAATGATCGTCGGCCTGTGGGCGTGAGTAAACCATTGATTTTTTTTTTTTTTTTTTTTTGTGCAAGAAAAAAAAAGTTCTATAATGTAACAGCCAAGAACTGGTAAATATTGATTTCAGCGCAGGGTCTGGGCCGTGTATATATATATATATATATCTGGCCCGAGGTGGGCGGCCCAAAGTGTCATATTACGCAACATAGAAATCTAGAGAAATGCTCTGTTTTGGGCATAAAGATCATTTATGCATTCGTAAACACTTTTCACTTGGAAAAAAAAAAAAAAAAAACACTGAGATTTATGTCTTTTCTTTATTCAGATAAATATTGATTTAATAGGGACAAGATTTTAAAGAATGACACAAATTAAAAAGAAAAAGAGTTGAGAGGGACGGATTCCTTAATTTTCTTATAGCATATTGCCAAAATAAAAAAGAAATAGTATATTATAAATTTATAAGAAAGGAAAATATCAAACACATAATGACGCAATTAATTATTATCATCCACGTTAAATGTTAGTTGTCATGATTACAATTCTAAGAGTTTTTAAACACAAAATTATCATGATAATTTTTACTTGAGAAATCTTGCTAGAGGAATTCCCTTCTAGAGAGGCAGAGTGTAAAGATTTGTACTCTTTTTTAGACACTACAAAAAATTCTCTTCTGCATCCCTTTATATATTAACTTAAAGAAGATGTAAGAACAGAGATTTCTAACAAATGACACAAAATTAAAGAGGTGAGTGATCAAGCTGAGGTACGTCTTCTAATTTTCTCGGCAAAAGCTTTGCCTTCTTCATCTTCCTTTTCGGCCTTCAGGTGTTCTTTGCTTGGCCCTTCACTAAGCTAAACAATAAAAGCGGCAGAATGACAAGAATTGAGTTAAGTATGCATGCATCATACAAATATTCATGAATATATAAATATATATATGTATATGTATATATATGTATGTATGCTGGTGTATAGGCGGCTTCGGAGCTGGCTAGCAGGACCGACCATAAAACAATCATACGTATATATCTTTCAACCAAAGAAACACAAGGTCAAAAAAAAAAAAAAAAGAAAAAGAAAAGAGAACAACGTGTAAGGTTTCTGAGCAATATGATCAAACGAAAACTTAACTTATGATGCAATCGGACCAATAGAAGTAGTTTTCTCAATGTTTTTATCTAAAAGTAACTATTGAATCAGTAAATTAAACGGGCCTTAAAAATACATTGTTAGTATGACTGAACTTGGCCGCACATTGGAATAGTCAAATTAAGCATTTACTAGCACTGAAAAATATTAATACTATAAAAATTTTGGTTAGATCTATATATATATATATATTTGTAGTCTATAGATATATATGTTTCTCTACTTTGTTCAGGAAGCCCCTTCCTAACGAAGGACAAACATGAAGTTAACAGCTAGATGTATATATGTTTTGTGTGTGTGTGTGTGTGTGTGTATATATATATATATTTATTTATTTATATGTATATCTTATCCTCCAAGGAACAATGTAGACTTGGGACTTGGTCGTTATCCCATCTAATTCTAGGATCCGATCATTTTTTGTATCATCGGCCTGCAGTGTACAACGAATAAGACTTTTTACGTGGGGAATGCAAGAACGTACATGTTGAACGCTTGAACAAGGGTTTTTTTTTTTTTTTTTTTTTTGGTTGAGGCCCATTAAATAGGTAGGCCCACTGTTCTGAGTACGAATACGAGTTACACAACACGACCTCCAAGTTAATAGCAAAGACTTGTTCAATACATGGTGATATTATATTATCACATGCGCATTTCTCATAAGTAATGTTAATTAAGGTAGGCGCTTGCATGGAGTAATAATTTCTTAGCTGTATAAACTCAAGTAAAGAATTTAGTTTTATTTAACAAAAGAAAATAAAATTAGTGAGTATTAGAGATTAATTAGTCTATAACTGTACCATAAGGGATATAGAGATAGATACATACATTCGTACATATATATATATATATAGATAGATACATACATTCGTACATATATATATATATATGGTACCAATTCAAAGAGGTTTAGCCAAGTACTAGCTAGTGGTAACATTATTAATGTCGTTCGATCAACCGCCCAACGTACCCCTTGGATCTCTCTTTGCCCTGTCTCTTCTATCTCCCATTATTTATAACCATCCATTATTTCTCTGTCGTACCCAATAAACCCTTCTTTCAAGGACCTTCCTATCCATGCATTATTCCTATATACACGTTTGAAAAGCTTTGTGAATACTTTTCTTTTCTGGCTTCTTCTTGCCATTTTAGATCATAATCTTGTTCTCCCGGCCATATATATATAAATATTCTGATAATAAACTTCCGTTTGAATGATTTTGGAGTACAGTGAATAGGAATTGGTATGGGTCGTGTTAAACTGGAGATAAAGAGAATAGAAAACAACACAAATCGACAAGTTACGTTTTCAAAGCGTAGAAATGGACTTATTAAGAAGGCTTATGAACTTTCAATCCTTTGCGACATTGATATTGCTCTAATTATGTTCTCTCCTTCCGGTCGTCTTAGCCACTTCTCTGGCAGAAGAAGGTACGCACGTATTATATATATATATATATATATATATATATCTAATTATATACATGGAGTTTTCATTTATTTATTTTTTAATTATGTACAAATTGTGATCATTATTATTTCTTTGATTATTTAAATAATCACTTTCACAAGTGAAATTGGGCTCATATTTATGAATCCGTTATGAATATGATCGAAACTGAATTAACCAAATAAGTTAAAAATAAAAATCTCGTTATGAACAAAAATACGTGTGTATTAAGGTTGAGATGATCCTACATTAATTATGGATTAATAGTAACGTTAATGATCAAATTAGTGATGTAGATTTATAATAGTTTGTCTAAGTTCCTTTTTCCGATGAGAAGGATATTTAATTAATTGCTAATTTATGGCTGGTCTTTGGTATATAATATATATTATATTGTTCATATCTGTTATTCTGGCTAAATTAGTTCCTATCCTTGAACATCAGGATCGAGGATGTATTTACTCGTTTCATTAATCTTCCAGACCAAGAAAGAGAACAGTAAGCTATAAACCTTCATAATTTTTTTTTTTTTTTTGGGTAATTAGCCTGCTACATGCGGTTATTAGTATACTAATTACTCTATTTTTCGCAGTGCTATAATTTTCCCCGATCACCGCCAACATCCGTATGCTCTCGTATCCCTTTCAGTTTTCATAAATTGTCGATTTAATTTCTCTTAAATCTTGTTGAATTCTTAATTAATCAAATATTTGTGTTTTTTTTTGGCAGTGATATGCAAAACAAAGAGGTTAGCCTTATGGCACGTACCTAAATCTTTGGTTGTCTTAGACTTTTATTTTCTTTATTTATTTTTTATTTTTACAAAGCAATTGAAAACACTGAGAACACGTGTTAAATGTGTAGTATTTGCTTCGGACACTACAACAGCTCAGGAATGAAAGCGATATTGCCCTTCAACTTGCCAAGTTTGTCTTTCCTCGGCTTTTGCATTTTTGCATTTTTCATTTTATTATACAGAGAAATAATGTTAGTGAACACTACTATTTTTTTTTTTTTTTCTTTTTTCATTTCCCCAATGATCTCAATTGCTTTGGGTAAACAAAAGTCCTATCGCTGTGAATACTGAAATTGAGGTAATTAATTTAAGTGATTTCTTCTGATCTTGAGCTTGTTCAATCTTAAGTTTTAGTGGTTTTTGTCTTTTTCATACGTTCTTTTATTTTTTAAAAATAAAATGAATTAAGTGTTTTTAATTTGTTCAATTTTATCATTTTAGGAACTCCAACAAGAAATTTGTAGGCTACAGCAACAACTTCAAATGGCAGAGGAGCAGATAAGGTCCTAAACAAAAGATAAAACCAAAAAGCACACATTTGTAACTGTGAAAGTCGGATAGATAGAGACAAAAAAAAAAAAATGGAAAGATATACTTTTGTCTTTTTTTTTTCTTATGTTGTGATGAAATATTACTTATGAACAATATTATATAATTTCTGGTTTTTGAAAAATAGAATGTACGAACCCGACCCTTTAAAAATCACATCTATGGAGGAGATGGATTCCTGTGAGAAAAATCTTGTTGATACTTTGACAACCGTCATGCAGAGAAAGGTATATAGCCCTTGATTTTTTTTTTATTATTCTTATTAGTTTTTTAATATTTCTATTGTTTTTCTCTGTTTTTTTTTTTTTTCAATGATTATGAGTGCTGGTATTATGTTGCAGGAATACTTGTTGAGTAATCAACTATCTTCTTACGAACCACCCGGAGTACCGGTAATTCAAATGTTCAAAAACCCAATAAAAATTCATCTTTTTTATATATAGATATTTTCAAAATTGTAATATTTTTTCATGGTTTGAGTGGCAGCAAGTATTCCAAGGCCCTTACGAGACTGCAATAGAAAGTTGGATCCCCAACAGCAATGCCCAAATCTTCGACGCGTCTTCTTCTTTGGATCCCCTTACGTACTTTTTTGTTCAATATAATTAGCTAGCTAATTTGGTTTTCATTTATTTCACCAATTATCTTTATTTATTTAGTTATTTATTTTTTTAATTTTAGAGAATTAGGATCCACGGTTTATGATCCATTTGCACAAGGAACAAGCTCGAATGTGGATCCAAACAGCTTGGAAGGAGGGTGTCATGTCCCAAATGCTGGTGACCAAAAACTACAAGCTTGGCCTCAGCCTTACCCTCCAACTGCTACTGCCCATCCTTCCCTCATGCCACCCACCTTTTACTCTCAAATTGAGGTTTTCCTTCCACCTCTAATTAAAATCTGAATATCCTCACAGGAAAATTTTGTAGCGCGTTAAAAAAAAAAAAAAAAAGAAACCCGAGTACTGAATTTTTTAAGCTATTAAATTTGTATCATGTTTGATTCTGATATAACTTCACGCACTCCAGTGTAGGCAATGAATTTTTAAAAATTTTAATTACTATGCGCAAAATCTTTCAAATGTACTCTTATGTAATACGAAAAATTATAATTTATGTTCCCACTAAATATAAAAACTTATAACTGTGACTTTTTTTAAACAAATATTATATTATATTTTATTAGTGTGTTCGCGCAGAGAAAATTTTGGCTCCATCATTGACTTATTCCTTTTTGATTCGTGGTGTATGAATTCTTTAGGGCGATCAGCATGCATTGGGGACATCCAACATGGCAGAGATCATACCACACCAGCAAATCGAGATCCCAATTAGCAGCTTAAATGTGGGACCCCGCAATTTTGGGAACGAAGCTTCAAATTGAAGCTGGAATACATTGACTATATGCTCCAGATCTAGATGAATTCTGCTCTTCTAATTTATTTTTGTTGTATAGTTTGAGCGGCTTGCGTGGTGCAGGCTTGGAAAATAACCGTTCACTTCGCTGATTCGAGTTTATAATTCAAATTTTTCTATAGTAAAAAGCTCTCACAAACAATCACATCTAACTTTTTTACTACAGTAAAAAGCTCTCACATAAAATAATATCTCAACTCGAATTCTAAACTCGAATCAGCGAAGTGAACAGGGCCTAAATTCATATTTTCCATTTAAGGTTGTAAACTGAGCTTAACCGTTAGAAAGTTACTTAAAAAACAACACACAAAAAATGGAGTGAAAGCAGATGAATTGTTAATACGTCGAATATAGCATTAGAATGGCTGGATTTTGAAGTCTATAGTTCAATATGCTACTTATTTCTCTGGTTTCTCTTTTTGTATAAGCTTGCAACGACTGTGGCATTTGCTGTACTCCTTTTGCTCCCCCGAATTTTTATTTTATTTTATTTTATTGCTGAAAGTGGACTGCTGCCCCGAATTCGATATCCCCCCTTGGAGACCAAATTACAAAATTCTTCTTAAATCATACTTCAAAACTGTAAATATATATATAAATATATTGGGAGAAATTTCACCACGAACCAGAAACAAGACCACCAGATCTTCAAAGAACAAAATCACTAGAAGGAATACACGAAGAAAGAATGAAAATACTGGACAATTCAACTGGAATTTTATTGACAATAAAACCCTTTATTAAGTCTTTACACCCTCAAGAAAGATCTCTCTCAATCTCAATCTCACTGTACACAAGAATGTCTCTCTCTCTACAAGCATTTACACAGAAGAAAAGAATAAAAGAACAGAGAGGATTAAAACTAATCTCTGGACTTTTCCAATATATTCACCTAACGGGTCTTATCCTTATTCTTGATCCTCTGCAAACTTACTCACTAAAACTCTCCTGTTCTCCTGTTATGCAGAATGAGTTACCACTTGCTTGCCACATACCACTTGCTTGCCACATCACCAGATGAATTTGCAGCCATATCACAACATATATATACACACATATATATATAACAGGAGAAATTTCTTTGTATCTATCTTATGTCACCGCATTTGCATAAACTCTTATAGTGTCACCTTTATTGACATGTGGCCATTCACCTGAATAATATTTGAATAATGACTGACAGGCAAAATTCCTACTATGCGCAAGTTTTTATTTATTTATTTTGGAATTTATAGTAAATTAGATACTTGTGAAAATAATGTTAACAAATAGTAGTTTTGAAACGAACTGAAGTAGATAATAATTTTCTATATCAACTCTAGGAACTAAAAGAATTATAAATTTCACATTTACCCCTAATGGCAGCGGCGTTCCATGCAATTTGCCCTGCTCGTTGATCCATCGTGATTCGCTCAACCGTATCCATTCACAATATGCAGAGACATATTCTCCGCCAGACCCGTTATGATTTGCACAATTGGCTTTGGCGTGAACTCATCTTGGCTTGTTCTAACCCACCAAAGCAACTTGACATCGCTCTGCCAAGAACACTAGAACAAATTGAATATTAGATGACGCTTATTTAATGACTTTTTATGAAAAACGTCATCTAATGTATCAAAAAATAAAAAAATAAAAACAACACAGATTTTCGTGTTTTAAAAATGTATACGCGCATATTAGACGACAGTTTTTAAAAACCGTCTAATGTCAAAAATTTTCATTTAAAAAAATAGCGCATATTTTCCTGTACAACTTTTTCCTAAGGTTTTTGAATTTTCTCTCATCCCTTATAATTCCAGCATCTCGCCTATCTCTAATATACAAATTCTAAAGTTTTCTCTCAAATCCCCTCTCTTTAAGTTATTTCTCTCTCTTCTCCTCCTCTCAATTCTCTCTCTAATTCATTACCCTCCCAAACCTTGAAGTTGTCCCTCCCAAATTCCCTTCATCTCTTCCACAAACTTTTCACTCTCTAAGCCATAGCTGCCACCGCAACCCCCACGACTATGCCTATTGTTGCCACCGTTACTTTACTACCATGATCATTATACCATCATAACCGCTGGAATCAAAGTAATTTTAGATTCCTTAAAGATTTGTTTTTTGTAATTAAGTATTTTTGTTTGGGTTTATACTTTTTATTATAAGTTTTTACTTTATTAGTGCTACAATATTCTAGAGAAACTTTGTTGAGTTCTTTTGGCAATATTTAAATTACATATGTGTGGAGGATTTAAAATAAGTTTTTTTTTTTTTTTTTTTAATTTCTTAGTTTGTGTTGTCTTTACGAAATTTGTGTTCGGAATAATATGTTGATGAAGATGTTTGAACAAAGAAATAGTGTTGCGTTGATATGAATGTTTTTAAAATTTGTTAAGACTTTTAACAACGGTTTTTATAAAAACCATTGTTAAAAGTAGAACAGTAAATGACTGCTTTTGTAAAAACATTATTGAACGTGCTACATTACACGATGAATTTTTTAAAAAAACGTCGTCTAATGTGCTTTTTCTGGAACCTTGCAGTGTTTCGTGCTCATTTTAGGCCAACGGAACCTGTTGCCCACTTTAATGCGGGTGGTAGTCTGCTTCTTTATTGGACGTATCCTATGGCTGATGCCTGATAGGAATATATCGTGATACTGATGGTAATCCACCATGTTGGTGTGTATATCCTATTGTGAAACGAACAAAACTTGTCGAATTATCAAAAGAAAAAAAACACACACACACACAAAAGAAATGGTTATTACTAAATTCCCAAATTTTCAATTTATTACAAGAGCTAACATACTCTTTTTTTTTTGTTTTGACATTTGTGGGACTAGTATGTTGTCTCTGTCCTTTTCTTGACTCTTTTAATCATCCGCTTCAGGCTTCCATTAAAGTTATGTTGTGGTAAATCGAATGCATAATTATGTTTACATATATGCAGAGGCATATGATGAGTAGTGACAATCTACTAGAAACTGATTTTATCGGTCACAAAATCTAGACTCAACTTACTCAAATAACTAGATTGTATTAAATAATACATAATAGTACTCATACACCGTTACCATTTATTTAATTAACCCAATAAATGTATTCACATGACTCATCTCTCACAAAACTTGGACTCTACTTAATAGATTCTCTATTCCCGATTCAAATGGAGAATTTTGATTCAAAACCATAAAACAAACTTGTGCTAAATTTGTGACGTCGTTTTTATTTTATTTTATTTTTAAAAAATGAAAAATAAAGAAAATTATAAAAAAAGAATATTCATCATAAAATAGTGTTGTTTGTTGTATTAATTCTTAAAAATCATATGTTAATTTTTGAATGCAAAACATAAATAAAAATGTAAAATTTTGATCCATCCCGGCCCTTTGGGCGCCCCACTACGCAGGCCGCGGGCTTTTTGACAACGTTTTACTTGTTTTTGTCATTTTTCTGAGGCCATTTTTTGCAGGCATGCCCAAAAAAAAAAAAATGAAGGGATCGTGTCTGTAAAATTTCATAATTTTGTGACGTCGTTTTTATTTTATTTCTTTTTTTAAAGACGAAAAATAAACAAAATCATAAAAAATAGAATATTCGTCAAAAAATGGTGCCGTTTGTTACATTAATTCTTAAAAATCGTATATTAATTTTAGAATGTAAAATATAAATAAAAATGTAAATTTTTTACCCATCCTGGCTCCTGGACACCCCACTATGTGAGTCGGGGGCTTTTTCACAGCGTTTTACTTTTTTTTTTGTCATTTTTTGAGGCCACTTTTTTGCAGGCATGCCCAGAAAAATGTAAGGATGGCGTATGCAAAATTTCATAATTGTTTGATGTCATTTTTATTTTATTTTATTTTTCAAAGAAAAAAATAAAAAAAATCATAAAAAATAGAATATCCATCAAAAAAATGGTGCCACTTATTGCATTATTTCCTAAAAATTATATTTTAATTTTAGAATGCAAAAAATAAATAAAAATGTAAATTTTTTACACATCCCGGCCCCAGGGCGCTCCATTACGCGGGCCGAGGGCTTTTTGACAGTGATTACTTTTTCTTGTCATATTTTGAGCCCATTTTTTTGTAGGCATGCCCAAAAAAATGTAAGGATCCTATCTGCAAAACTTCATAATTTTTTAAAATCATTTTTATTTTATTTTATTTTTAAAAATGAAAAATAAAATAAATCATAGAAATTAGAATATTCATAAAAAAATGGTGCCGCTTGTTGCATTAATTCTTAAAAATCGTATGTTAATTTTAGAACACAAAACATAACTAAAAATGTAAAGTTTTGACCCATCGCGTCCCCTGGGCGCCACACTACGCGGGCCAGGGGCTTTTTGACAACGTTTTACTTTTTTATCATTCTTTGAGGCCATTTTCTGCAGGCATGCCCAAAAAAAAAAGATTGTGTCTGCAAAATTTCATAATTTTGTGACGTCATTTTTATTTTATTTCATTTTTCAAAGTCAAAAAATAAAGAAAATCGTAAAAAATAAAATATTCATCAAAAAATGGTGTCGCTTGTTGCATGAATTTTCAAAAATCATATATTAATTTTGGAATACCAAATGTAAATAAAAATGTAAATTTTTTAGCCATCCCTGCCCCTGGGCACCCCACTACGCGGGTCGTGGGCTTTTTGATTGCGTTTTACTTTTTTGTCATTTTTTGAGGCCATTTTTTGCAGGTAGGCCCAGAAAAATGAAAGGATCGTGTCTGGAAAATTTGATAATTTTATGACATCATTTTTATTTTATTTTGTTTTTCAAAGATGAAAACTAAAGAAAATCATAAAAAATAGAATATTAGTCAAAAAATGGTGTCGCTTGTTACATTGATTCCTAAAAATAGTATATTAATTTTATAATTCAAAACATAAATATAAATATAAATTTTTGACCTATCCCGTCTCATGGGCACCCCACTACGGGACCCAAAGCCTTTTTGATAGTGTTCCACTTTTTTGC